TACAGATGTTGGCTTCCTCTCTGATCCGCATAAAGCCCGTTCACAAACTGGATATGTGTTTAAGAATGGAGATACAGCAGTCTCATGGCGCTCAACCAAGCAAACATTAGTTGCTACATCTTCAAATCATTCAGAAATACTTGCTTTACATGAAGCAAGTCGTGAATGTTCTTGGTTAAGATCAATGATCCATCATATCCGGAATTCATGTGGTCTAACTTCGAAGACAGACAATCCAACTGTCATCCATGAAGATAATGCAGCCTGTGTTGCCCAAATGAAGGAAGGATTCATCAAGGGCGATAAAACTAAACACATATCTCCAAAGTTTTTCAGTGCTCATGAGCTTCAGAAGGCTAAAGTTATTGAAGTCAGACAAATCCGTTCAAATGAAAATCTGGCAGACTTGTTCACCAAATCTCTACCAAAGTGCACATTTCAGAAGTTAGTGCAAGGCATCGGATTACGTCGACTTACCAAACAGCTAAATTTGAAGAATGCGGAATCAGGGGGAGATACATATCAGGGGGAGCATCCCTGATACATGCTTGTTGTACTCTTTTTCCTTCGATTAGGATTTTTCCCACTGGGTTTTTCCTATCAAGGTTTTAACGAGGCAACATAAGCATACTTGACACTACATCAACGATCCAGGAAAAATTGTACTCTTTTTCCTTCGCTACGGTTTTTTCCCACTGGGTTTTTCCAAGCAAGGTTTTAACGAGGCAACTCATGTTGATATGTGGGCATCCAAGGGGGAGTGTTGAAAAGTCTGATGTATGATGGCAATGAATGCCCATAAAGCAAAAGTCTTCAGCATGGGCAAAGTTTTCAATGCCCATGCAAAGTGAAAGTGATTGTATAGTCAGACGAAATTTCTTAAATTTCAAGATGCATTAACTGCATCAGTTTGGAGTTGCTCTATAAATAGAGCACTCCGCATGTTTTCATAAAACAGAATATATAAGAAGAAGAAAACAAGAGAGAAATATCAGTAACATCATCTATTCCTCTGCCTTTTATTTGTTATCCTCTTGTGCTATAAGTTTTAGTGTGGCATTTTACATCTACCTTGCACCTACTACTAAAAAGGTTATTCTCTCAAACTTTAACCCTTTTATAACAACATTATATTTTTTTCACTCTAGTTTCATACTCGTTAGTGAGGATTGCCGGACACTTTCATACTTCTGTTAACATTTATGGTTTTTGAGTTTTTGATTAAACTTTTGAAACATTTGATCAAGATATTCAAACTTGAACTACTTCAGATTAATTGAAATTAATTTACATTTAAATATCTATTATATATTTTAAATAATTTCAACTATATTTAAATCTAAAAATTTAAACTTTTCGAATCTAAATGTACACCTGTTTGGACCCAATTTTACATCATCGGCCCGTGCAGATAAGGTCGTTGAGTAAGTATAACTCCCAACCGTCGGATGGAAAATGAGGATAATTTTTTTATTAAAGGATAATATTATGTTTTTATCAAAGTAATTATATTTTTAATATGAATTATCTTGATATATTCTTAAATGGGATAGATAAGAGGCAAATTATATCTCTAAGCAAGTGGTACAGTTCAAGTTGAGTTGGGATGTGTGTGGACGTGTGGATATGCTGCAAACCTGGTATTCAAGAAAGAAGGGTCAGGATGCATGCATGGATGGATGAGTTTAAAGATGATAAAATAGGAAGCCTAGGTAGCCTAGGCTTGGTGACATTAATGGGATGAAACTATGAGATGGTGATAATTAAAAATAAATTTAATATTCATTTAGATAAAGCCTAGGAACATAGGTTTTTTGGAAGGCGAGGTTTTTAATGCATGTTTCTCGGGTTGGTGCTGTGAAGATGGATGGAGGAAAGCAAGTGGTGAAGCCACGTCACCAAAGATCAAATGCAATCCTTTAAAGATCAAGTCACATCAAATATATGGGAATTTGAAATAAAACTCTACTTAAGGATCAGGCCATGCCAAGCAAGTACATCAGTCCCATAAATACAGGTGCAATGGCAACGGAAGGAGGACCTCGAATTCAACACACAACTGCCCTGCGCAAACCTCTCAAACATCTTGAGATTTTTTTTTCCTTTTTTCACCAACACATCTTCAGTTTGGATAAACAGCACTGTAAATGCAACCGGCGAACACTTTCAGTTTGGAGAAACAGCACTGTTGCCATAGAATCAACCGACCGAGAAGCACTTTCAGTTTGGATAAACAACACTGCGTCGAGGCCAACTGGTTATCTATCCAAGTCTCGGTCGAGAAGGGTTTCCAAATCCTTATTGGCAGAGGTCATCTTATTAGCCTTCCAGACGAAGTAAGGTGTTACGAGTTACGACATTCGGCACATTGAACGCCGAGTGGTTTTATGATTAGATATTCACAAGTGAGTTTCAGAGTTCGGCATTCTGACGGCCGAACCACATTTATGATAAAGATATACATCTCCTTTGAGTACTCCATATAGTCTGGTGTCGATTCGACGTGCTTATAATCTTACAAATATAATCACTGTGACCGAGTCTGGCGCAGACGATTCGTGAACTTCGCAGAACTAGCAGCCTTGTCTTCAAGCTTGAGAACCCGAAGGCTGAGACTTGTTCCTTCCTCGGCCGTAGTTGCAAGATTAAGAAGTCAGCAGCATGCTCAATGCAACATCAACAAAATTTACTCCTCGGCCTAGCATGGCCGACAAGTTGGCACGTCCCGCATCAACTGAAGGACGTAGTTAGCTCATTAGTTACTCAGCCTGTGTGCCATGTAGGCTTTGTAATTTTTAGGGTCAACAACACCCACACCAAATGGAAACGTACCAACATTAAATGAAAACGTACCAACGTCAAACGAAAACGTACCAACCCCGAATTAAAACGTACCCAATTATAAACTGTGTTAAAACAAATATTCATCTTTTTGGAATATTTAAAAATATGTTTGATTCATACACAATGCTATAGTCTTGTTTTTTTGGTAGATAAGTCTCTGGAATAACTTTTAGTTGATTAGAGATAAATCCTTATTATTGTAGATAATGCTAAATAATAACAATAAATCATATAATTTTGAATTAACAAAAAGGCTATTGTTCGTTAATTAATGACTCTTTCGATAAATAATAATAATAATTAATTAAAGTAATTTAAACTTTGACATTGTTAATGACTCTTTCTATAAAAAAAAATAATTAATTAAAGTAATTCCTCATTATTAGGACAAAAGGTAATAAAACTTATGTTTTGAAAACAAACGTACCAAAAATTCAAATGTACCAAGTAACTAAATGTACCATTATAATCAAACGTACCAATACAACCAAAAGTTCCTAACAACGAGTTTTGTTATATTCTATTTGATTTACTAAAATAAATATTTTAATGAAAAACACAAAAAAATCTTAAATCATCATAATAAGAGATGCATAAAAAATAGGAGGAAAAAAAGGGCATACTAACGTGAATAGACTTCTAATGAAATAAAATTAAAATACCAAAATTGTAGGGAAAATATTTAATCAAATTTACAAAAGGAATAGATGTTTAGTTTATGATATTTAAAAACGAGGCGTTTATATCAAAACGATAGTAGGATATTTGAAATGGAAATAAGTAATATTTTTGGAACCTTTTCAATCACCTTGTTAATTAGGTGAACAAAAACATTAGAATCAAGTCCAAACTTCAACACATGGGCATGCAACTCTTTGCCACATTCCAGCACAATTTCGCGTGTAAATCCCCAACCAGCTGCCGTGAGGGCCCTCTTCTCCTCAAATCCAAGCCCAAAACTCAGAAATCTCCAACCTCAGCCACGGTTTTGCTTCTGCGAAGCCTTTCCGCAACTCACAACTCCGGTTATACAGACCCGCGCCACCGGCCTCTGTGTCACGTGCATTTATAAAGATTTTTGGGGTGAAATTTTGTCTAATAATAAGATTAAATATAAAACCAGTTTGATATATATTCAAAAAGTGAAGTGCTATTGATACTCTAAAAATCTCATTTTACACTCCTCACAAGTGTATTTTTCTTTCCTAATATAAAAAGTTTGCATTGTACGATAAGATTTTTTAAATGCTAATAACAATTAACAAATGTATATTTATATAAAATTAAATATGAAACCACAATTGTATAATATACAATATATCATATATTATATATGAATGCACGTGTAGGACCCAGTCTGTGTTGAGAGTTGTCCCACATTAGTGAGAGATAAAGTTTGCTATGTGTTTATAAAATCTTGGGTTACTCCCTATCTAACCAATTGATTTTATAGTAGAATCTCAATTTAATCAGTATACACATAAGAAGTAATATGCGTGCGATAACTAAATATTTTGTGGGCGCGCTGGGACACGCTTTTGTTAGATTTTTTTTTTTTTTTTTTTTTTTTGTTGTTGTTGTTGTATTTCCCCTGCTCTGTGATTACTGGAAATTTTGTTGAGTTTTATCCTATTGATTCATGCAGTATTCTTATGTTGAATTAAAACTTTCAAACCAGCTGCACTCTAGAAAGTGGTAGTTCAGAAATCTGTTTTGATAGAAATTCAACATTCTGATGCTGTAGACCTTGTTTAGGTCCGCGAGAAGGATGATGCAGATGGTTCTCTTAAATTCATCTATGCTTGAAAGGGTGACTGTTAAGCCTGTTTCAGTAGATGGTTCTTCGGAATTATTAAAAAAGTTGCTCCACTTTAGGCGTGCCTCAGCACATGCTGAGATAATCTACTTGGACCCGTTATAAGAACATCAGTTCCTGCAGCTAACAGGACTTTAATGAGGAAATATGCGTAGGGTAAAAGTATTTTTGGTGTTTTTCTGTTTGCTTTTCTTAACAATGATTAATAACAGCGGTACTTGCAATTATCTTTTTTTCTTGATACAAGTTTTGATCATTTTTATCTAAATTTCCAAATGTCGGCTGGTCATGAAAAAAACAAACAATGGGCTAGACTATCAAGAACTTAATCCTTCACAATTTATGCAAGCCCAACAGTTCTTCTCTTGACTGCATAACTTCTTCTTCTTGGATACAAATCAGTCTTCACATTCACTTCATCTTCCCGAAAAGAACAAGCGGTCTCCTCATCAATCCTTCCCATCGTCAACCCAACACTGTAACTCCGCACCCCCATTCCATTCATAGTGTTATTGGGTTGTCTAACAATCGGTTGAGCAATTGGTCTTCTATGCATATCTGAATTACTTGCTGACTTGTTCTTATTATATTTCTCTACACTGTTATTCCTATTTGACGTCGATGTTCTAAGAAGCTGCCTCACGTCCTCATCATTGCTAGAACTAGAAGGTTTGATACTGAAGCTTCTGGGAACGTGCGGAACTTGTGAGGCAGTGTAACCGCTCACACCACCACCACCATGACCCATCTTGCCGGCACAATCCTCCACACTTCTCATGTAAAAATTCCTGGCCTTGGTCAAGGTCCTTATGGGTGCACAAATAATGTACATCAGCATGCTTTGCTTGGTTGCTTTGGTAGAGCTCCTCATTTTTGGTAAAATGGTTAAGGGTTGAAAACAAGAGAAGTGATTGGAAAATATTTGTACCGTAGTGAGCTGAGCTGAATGATGAGGGTGAGTTAGTGATGTGTGTTTATAAAGTTTTGGGAGATTTGGGGTTTGGACTTGATTTTTAGAAGTAGTCTAATTGGGACGGCAATCCACGAAAAAAATATTTCAATTACTATGACGTGTGGACAAAATCAAAATTCTTGAATCAAATGGGACATGTGAAAGGTTTAAATGTGTAAATACTATAATATAACTGAATGGAGCAAAATAAAAAACAAAAAACAATGTGACAAAAACATACAATATAATAAAATTACAACAAACCTTTGAAGATATCAGTGGCTAACATCCATATTTGATTCCAATTCATGGAACCATGTCCACAAGGAAGCGAAACTTTTGGCGGACACAATTGCTAATACTGATTTCAGTTTATAATTTTGATGTTTGGAATATGTCTTTGCCGTCTGTGGCAAGAATGGCCATCTTTTTCACTATATTGAGACTGGAAGTAATTTCTTTAAGCTTTTTAATTTCTCATAAAAAAAATATGCATACATACAAAGTATATATGCACATATACATATAGCCTTTATTCAAATGAATCTCTAATCTAAGTAAAAATGAGGACCAATTGTGAGGCCATTATATATCCAATTTCAACGATCTAAACCGCCTATTTATTAAGAGGAAAACTAATGAAAAGGACTTCAATACTTTGAATTTTAACCAAAAACCATATAATAACTTTATTTAATGATTAAGACAAAACCTAACATTAAACCAGTCCGATTAAAATGGCCCAAACAATGAGTTTCCAATTCTACCCCTAACGGCAAGTCTTTTGTCTGTCTAATATCCCTAATCTCTCGACTATGCTCAGTCTCCCCTGTGTCTCCTCTTCAGTTGCTCTGTCGCCCCAACAATGACCGCCTTCGTCATCTCAACCGCTCTCGATATCATCAGGTACTACTCTCACTCATCTCCTCATTGTCTCCGTCCATTGATGTCTGCATCAGCATCTATAACAACGCTGGAGTTCCCTGTCGAGATTCACCAGGAAGAGAGGTCTATGTCCCGTAGTTGATCTTCGGACACCTCCTGACGAGTAGCAACTATGATAATACGGTGAAGAAAACCACCGGTGGACGCAAAGGCTACGGTGCCAAGCTTACGAACATCTTCTCCATTGAATTCATCATCGAGACGGCGGACGGAATGCGACAGAAGAACTATAAGCAGGTACAAAATTGTGGATTCTCTAATTTACGTGATGTTTAATTTGTATTTTAGGATTTTACTATTTTGTGGAATTTAGGAACTAAGATTTGGTCTTCTATTTTAGGGTTTGGTGTGTAAAAAATTGTGTATTGTAGGGTTTCAATGTTTGGTGGAATTGCGGAATTAGGATTTGGTCTTCTATTTGTGATTGTTCATTTGAAATTTGATGAAATTTCGTTTTGTAATCTGTGATTTATTGGGGAATTGTAGGATTAGGGTTTCAATATTTGAGTAATTTGTGATTGTTCGTTTTATAGACTTAAAAAGTACGTTTATCTTGTACACCTTAGGCCATCTCCAACCGATCCGGCCAGACGGCCATAGGACTAAAAATAATCTGAAATAACACGAAAACCGTTGCCAACCAAGGGCTAGGCCAAAAGGCTCTGGGCCTCACCGGGCAAAAAATGGGAAAACAGGCCAACCAGCTGGCCAAGAGCAGCTAGCCAGCCAGCCCTGGGCCGACCCAATTGTTTGAATGCAACGGCTACCTAGCGTCAGCATGCCGCCAGCTAGCAATGGCTACCTAATGTCATGCTGATGCCAGGTGACTCTTGAATTTGAATTTTTTTTTTTTGGGACAAAATTTAAAAATAAAATAAAATAAAATAATTCTAATTTTTTTCCTATAACTACCTAAGCCATCAAACAACATTAAACAACACTAAACAACAATAAACAACAGTATCCAATATTAAACAACATTAAACTTAAACAACACAATCTCCACCCTAGTACTACTTGGGGGAGTTATTCAAACTTAAACAACATTAAAAAAATATTTAACAACATAAAAATTAAATGCCAACTCCATGCTTCTTTCGGCTCAAAGATGTGCAACAAGATCATATTGTAGGTACTTATTTGTGGCACGTGAACGTATCATCATATAGCGCCTCATGTACTCATTTAAAGAGATATTACCAGTTCTTGGATCCAAAGGCAAATTAGGTCCATCATATATTTTTGCACAAGCCCTCCTTGACTTATTTGGATCATCTTGGTTGTCATCAGACTCTTTATCAATATAGCCATCTCGTTCATCCTCCACAATCATGTTGTGTATCATGATGCACAACATCATGATGGAGTTCAATTTATGACATGCCCCAACCCCAATATCCCAAAATATCAAGATAGATACGTGCTGGCCGACACCTAAGGGTGACGAAGCCATTAAAAACATGCGTACCGATAAAATATGTAATTAGAAAGAGATACACTAGTGCAGAAGCATGTTCAGAGTATACAACTAACCAAGAATCAAGTGAAAGAATTATGATAGAAAGGTACGAACCGAGGAATGGGTTTTACCTAGAGAAGACTCGAATATGCCTAAGCGGAGGTGTCCTAACGTTGGGATTGTATGCCTCAACTCTAAGTCATGAGGGGGTGCAAAACAGAAAAGGTGAGTGGACCAAAGTTTATAATAATAACAATACTAATAATAGGAAAACCATTTTATTTTAGAACTTAGTAACCCCCTATTTTGAAAACATATATAATACTATATAGTAAACTTTATGAAAACCCTAGCATGCCACACCAAAACCTTCGTAAACATGTACGTGTAAAACCATGCCCAGTAATGCTGAAAACACAGCCCGAAGGCAAATCCACAAATCTCCTTAATACTGTACTCTTTAGGGGTATCATAGTCGCCCGAAGGCACTACTTGTCCATCACCCGAAGGTGAAGCTGAATAACTTGTCCATCACCTGAAGGTGAAGCTGTATAAAATAGCATACATCTACACCGACACTAGACGTGGCTAGTGAAGCTATCCGACACTGCTTTCGGCAGTGAAGCTAGGGGTATATCATATATCATATCTAACTCTTCCTCATCAACTGTGTCCTATGGCCATAGACATCTATACTCGTGGTGTACGGATGTGCCGAATGATAAACCACTAGATAAGTACCGAAAACATACCTCAAAATCTCATATCCAAACCAAAACTCAAAAGCTCCAAAACTCAACTCACAAATCCATGGTAAATCATATTTGTAAATCTATAATAAGTCACATTCGAAATACATATAAATTCACATAAGCAAATCCAATAATTCAATACCTTTAATAAAACGTATTTTCGATAAATCAAACTATTTCGTAAACCATAATGATAAAAGTCCATAAAGCATATTATAAATCATATTCAAGTTATGAAATACGGAATGCATGCTCGGCTAATATTTTATAAAAACAAGTAAGTTAAGAAGGGGTCCACTCACAGATTTTATTGCCCGAGAACTGCTCGAACTAGTGAGGATAACGTCGCTTCCCACCAACACGCCTAAACACAATTAGAGACCTTTTAGTAAAACTATACCTAAACGATAGAATTTGGGAAAACGGATGGCGGATTCAAAATAGGCACGTTGGAAAACCTAAGGGGGGACCTTTGGTTCCCCCCACGCTCCGCCGCATAAACCTTCATGAGGCAGTGGCCCAGAAGGCCACGCGCCGCCATAGGTGGCGGTTTCCGGCGAACGAAAACCCAAATTTCCGACTAACACTAAAACTTCCCAAATTTTATAGGCAAGTATATCTTAATGAGAGGAACAACTTTAATACTTGAGCCGAAGTCCAATTCAGCCAGAAAACACCCCGATTCCCCCTCAAACCCACAGAACCCTAGAAATAGGTGACTATCAATTCGTCTCTTCCGATGCTTCGCCGCCCCCAAACTTGTTTGGGGTTTGTTCCTGGCCTATAGAGGAGTGGTTTAGTTGTGGTAGTGGTGGCCCCTTTGGAACCCACAGGTTCCGTTCTCCTCAAATCAGGGGTTAAAGGAACTGGGTTTTGGGTGGAAATGGAAGAGGGAAGGCCAAGGAGTTGTTTGGTAGGGGTGGAAGACCATAAATCAGTGGAAAAATGAACAGAAAGCCGTCGGGAAAAGTCGTCGGAACACGGGTCGAGTCACTGTGTAACGGGTCAAGGGGAAAGGGTCCGGTTGGCTTCTCCCTCAACTTTCTCCTTTCTCTCTTTTCTCTACTTTCTAATTGGTTACCCTCTCCCTTATTTTCTCTCCCGCGCCTTTCATTTTCTTCCTCTCTCTCCTTATCTTTCCATCCTAGCCACACACGTGGCACCAAATTAATCCTCCAACATAATCTAATGTCTTCCAGATTTATGGTCAAATGACCATTTTGCCCTCAACTTCGTTTGTTAATAACTTATTCATTATAGCTCCAAGTTACATTCTGTTTGTGCCCACGCGTTTGTAGTGACGAGTATTACGACGATATGCAAAGAAAATAGATTTTACGTGACATGACAAGGCGGTCAACAAAAGTCAATGCATTTACCTAGGAGGAAATTTTTGAAATTTCACATTTTAAAATTATAAAATTCGTAATAATTGGTGACGGGTCATTACAATCTACCCCCTTAAGAAAATTTCGTCCCCAAACTTTTGAAATAACTAGTTATATGTAAAATACTCGAAATTAGGTAGAAAATATGTGTATAAATATATATACAAGAAAAAATCAAGTTAGAGTGGCTGCACAAAAGAGAGTGTCATTTCGTCGCGATCAGATTGCAATTATTCCTCTTTCATGCCTTCAAGCTCATACCTTCTTCCTTCCTCAATAATATAGTAGTATATTACTCATATAAAAATATAAAGTTGCAAATACATATAGTTATGCAATAACATTAATTCAAATATATATATACATTTAATAAAACAACGTCTAAAATAGATATATAGCATAGAATTAAAATGCTTGTACTAAGTCTAAAATCGAAAGTGGAAATAACTCACCCAAAACTTGTAATGCCAAAATTACCTATATAAAGAAAATAATGTAGTTTCAAAATGTTTGTACGGAAAATCAAAACCAAAAATCAAAATGGGCCTTGCCCAAGCATTCGTCATGTCACGTACTCTGAGAATGAGTGTGTGTCTTGAGTCGAGTCCTAATCATAGTTAACTCATAACTCCTACCGTAGATGGGCCGACTTGCCCACTTACTTAGCGAACCCAACAATTAAGCCATCGATATTACAGTCTGCAGCTTGTAATGCCAATAACTCATCGTTGTCTCGATAAGCAAATGAGAAGTTCCTAAAGTTGCCAAAACGCTATTGTGCTCCTCAATGTGAAATGTGCCTAGATAGTACAATTCACGTCTCGATCGTGCTCCCACACTATCCCAACACGCAACATTCAAAACTGCTAGAAGTGCCTTGACATCCACGTTCCCATGAACAATAAGATCCTAGAGTGAAGTAGTTGAAAGATGCGTAGAGATGAACACATGTCATATAACATTTCCTCTGTGACTAACCAAAATTGTGGCTCTCGTGGTCGAGAGGTATAAAACTCGAAGCCTATAATAGAAGAACCATAAATCTGCCCACTTTCTCCGAATAATGGTTACCACTTCAAACTATTCATAGAACTAGCCTTACGATCACCATACTCAGAACCCAAGATGGAATTTAATCTCCATCGATGCATATTTAAAGGTGTTTTAGGGTTGGGTGAGAAATACCCTTAAAATATTTAGGCAAAATCGTTGGAAAAGAACTGCTAGAGTACGATATGATGCCTATGAATTATAGCAAGACAATAAGATGTGACCATTCATTTATACGTGAAGATAGTGATTGGTGATGTAATCCACTAACCACCTGCATTATTACTTTCACTAATCCCTTACTAAAAAACAACTCCAACCTCAAAACCACTTGGAACTCTTCCTGGCAAGTCTGGTAAATGTGTGAAAAGGTTATGCTCTTAATGTTCCTGTCAAAATCGATATGAACTGGGCACACATTTCAATTGAGTTGATCCATCATGAATTCTTCACGAATTTAGTGAGAAACCATGTTAGGAAGACTAAAAGAACACTCAAGAATTTGAGGGTCAAAATAAGTCCATTAAGTCTAGAGTACAAGATCTCTGGATTTAATATACAAATTTGATGCTTGAGTACATATAAGTACCTAATTTAAGTAGGTAACAACAACTTGAAATGGTCAAACCTAACTCTACTTAGACGATAATCTAATGAATTTGACGAACGGGAACTTAGATTTTTCCTTGACCCAAAATTCACAATAATTCGTTACAACGGTAGTTCTGGGAATAATAAATCACCAATGGTGAAGATTCGGTCAATAGGGTGCTAATTGGGTGATTCAAGGACTGATGACCTCATCTAAAAACTTCAACATCTGAATGGTCCTCCTGGACAATCCGTCTACT